TCTCAGGGCCAGGAGCTCGCTTCTGGTGCCGGGGAGTTCGCTTACTGTGCCGGGAGTTCGCCTAATGGCGCAGTAGGCGAACTACCTGTGGTGCACTCGGCGAACTCCCAATAATTAGGTGACCATTGACTTGTCGTAATGTATCGTACACTTGCTGTGTGGCGCAGTCTAGACTATCTTTACTGCAGCAGGTTGCTCACAGCTATAGCCAGACACCCTCAGTGCCGTGATCATGGTGAAGAAACGCGGGCAGGCTGATGCTTTGACAGGAGAAGCGTGGCAAGGTTGGATGACCCATGTGGCTAGGGTGGGGCCTGCATGGCTCTTTGTAATGTTTACCCTGTGCCACCTTCTATGCTCGAGAGTGACCGAAATCCTGAAGCTGCAGCTTCAAGACGTGGACTTGGACAATGACAAGATTACTGTGAAGCCATTGAAAAAACATGGAAGCATCACAAAGCCAATTTCATCGACGCTACGGCGGCTTTTGGACAAATGGAAAGCTGATGGTGGGCACTCTATCACTTTGACCCGGAAATGTGGATCAAGGGGGATTTGCACATTCCAAAGCACATGGACTTTCCCTACAGAGCCAGAGCAATACTTCTTTCCCCCTATGCGGTCCGACAACAAACTTGGACGCATGTGTAAGGACAGAAGAGGGTTTTGTAAGATTTCAGGATTGCCCTAAACTTTTCCATTCGGTTTGCAACCCTGACTCTGCCTGAGGACACAGCAGCCGCTGCTATTCGTCGTGCTCGTTCAAGCTTTGTGCCTCCCAATGTTGCTGCAGTGAAAGTGGCCAATATACGTTCGCATTCTGCTCGGCACAGGTGCATCAACGACTTGAAAGCTCAAAATGTACCGAATGAAGTGGGCAAAACATTTGCCCGCATCAAATCCAATAGTGTGTATGGAAAATATGGCCGTCTCACACCAGAGCAAGCGGCTGCTAGTTTGCACCAGAATACAAAGCTCCAAGACCTATGGGAATCTCTGCGGTCTTCATTTTGATAGTAACCTGAAGCTAGTGGATCGGACTGCCTTGACTTTGGGCCAATAAGGGCCTTTTTCTTGGAAAAATGTCTCGCACCTTCGAAGCCAAATAAAACTAGAGCATCAAATTGAAACTGCGCGGTTTGATTTGGTGGCTCATGTCCCGCGCCGCCTGGCTGAGGACACTGCGGCAATGGGGCAGCGCAGGGTGGTTTTGACCTCAGAGAGCAATTCTGGAAAGTACTGTATTAAATATGTGTTTGGTATGTCGATGGAAGCCGATGGAAGCCACTGCGTCTTAATTTGGCCTTTTTTTGCTATGGCGCACACAAGTGCATCGGGTCATGTTTCTGCAAGCGACCATTGTGTAGGAAAATAAAGATCAGGAATTTCAGCTGCGTTGATTGTGTGACAAATATATGAAAAGAAGCACTGGCTTCCACTTGGTCGCAGTTTGACAAAACTTAAGGCAATGTTGGCCTCGCTACCCCACCCCCATCACTTCGTCTTATATCCATGTCTACTCGCTTCTTTTAGCGATCTGTGCACCTCTCCGCTCGGAGATGTGTAGTAGAAGTACGCAGAGCGATTGGCCGGAGAGAACTTCGTGACCTTGCAGGCACCGCAATTATAACCTAAAACTAACTACTAAAAGTGACATCGGTCGCCTAAAACTGACTACTAAAATGAGAGCGCGCGCCTTCCAGCCAGATTCGGTCTCATGCGTCTCGCGCGGCGTCGATCCCCTTGCACTGCGCTTTGGCTGCCTAGACTCGAGCGCTGACGCTGGCCTCTTGAAAGGTACTGCCGCAGACTTTGGAGTCGCTGCTTTTTGTGGTGAGCGCTGCTTGCCAGCCCCTCCGACAGCCAGGTGAGAGTCGGCACCATCTTGTTTAGGATGCTGCGCTGCCCCCTCTGACTCAGCCACCACTCTTTCGGCCTTTGTCTTGTCAGCCTTCGGCAGCTTCAAACAACTCTTGTTTGGCCCCCTTGGTTTCTTTGCACTGCCTTCTGGCTGCGGCGGGGCCTCTTCAATCAGTTCATTGCCCTCATGCTCCTGAGGAGTCTCTTTTGCCGACGTCTGCCCCTTCTTCTTTGGTGCCGCTTCTCTCTTCTGATGAACAGATTCTGCATCTTCGTTGTTCGGATCCATTGTGACTGTTTCTGCCTTCTGACGTGGGTCAGATTTGCCCTTGGCTTTGGGTTTGGGCTTGGGCATTGCCCTCGGCCTTGGTGTCTCTGAATCTGATTCTATGGATTTCCTGCGGACCACCTTGCCTTCAGGCGATCTCGAAAGTGTTGGCGCAGAAGGCTGGCCAGCTTCTGTGGCCAATCTGGCACGGATCCTTGCCTGAATGTCATAATTGATCATATTGGACATGGCCACTGAATGACACCGGCTCAAAAATCACTGCGCGCGAACTTGAAAAGCTTAAAAATGGCAAAGGGACAAGCCGGACAAGTAAATTATCAGAATGCGTCGAGCAGCCGAAGCCTAGTAGCGCTTGTGCAGCGCACATATATTAGCGCTTGTACAGCGCACCTCACAGCACACACACATCGCAATGCAAGAAACGTGCAAGACAAACGTTGAGCTGCGCTGCTTTTCACAGCTTTTATTGGGGTCGATGGCCATGATGCCGCAAATGCTCGCCTAGAGCCTCCAAATAATACTGCCGTCGTGTGATGGCTGGTTCAAAATAGCTGGCAGGTGCAGGCGCAGAAAAAATATAATAGTCGATCCATGTAGACCCATTGGTAGCAACAACCCTAGAACGCTGCAGAAAAATGCACTGCACTTGCTTGCAGCAAGTCTGCCCGTGGCAATGACTCCACCCCCGGCTTGCGATAAGTCATTGTCAGTCAACATGGGCGCATGTCTAAAAGTTGACGCATCGACTTTATGCATGTAGAAAAGGTGAAGCTTGGAAACTACAAGAGACTGACTGACCACAAGCAATTTGGAGTCGCCAAGCGTTCCAGACATGCCATCAGCACTCACTTGTGACTCGAGCTGTCTTCATCCGGCTACCTCCAAAGCTAGAAAATCGAAAAAGTAACTTGCCAAGGTTCAGCCTACTACATGGAAAACACAACGACCGTGCCTTCATTGGGTGTCCAGCCACCAGCTTCAACGGTACACTCGTGACCACATATGGCTTTTGCACCTTGCAATTGGTCCCCACCTGCTCATAGCGAAATCGGAAGACCGATTGGATGATCTCACTCTGAGCCACTTGGTCACAGCTTCCACGGAAGAAGCTCTTGCGCGAGTTCTTGGCGTTTTTTGCCTCCTGTGGCTGATACTTCATCTTCTGCGCCACCTGCACCTCAAAGCCGTCAAGGCTCTTGTCGTCTGACTTGCGCGTGACCTTCAGGAAGGACACAGGCACTCTGGCGAGCCGCTTTTGCTTTTCAATTTGCACGATCATCTTGTACAGCGACCATGTCTCGATGTTTGTTGAATCAGCTTTGAGAGAGCTTTCGTCAAATTGCACCCAAGTGGCGTCACCTTTGCCCATCTCAAACAAAACCCCCGGCTGAGGATCTTCCACTTTCGCGTAGCTTCCGGTGCCAAACCCACCAAGTTGAGTCTTCTTCGGCACGATCTTCTCCTTCTGTTCTTCTTTGGGTTCAAAGAGCAAGTAGATCCCACCAGATTTGCCACGCAGCAAATGCACGTTGGCAAGTTCCGAAACCACGCGGTCTTCGATGGGGTCCTCCTTTTCTAAGATCTCGCGGCTCTCCCACTCCTTTGCCGCAAGGACAACATCTTTGCGCTCCGGCGCACCCTGTGGCTCTTCCTGATCAGGGGCCTCTGCTTGATTGAAAGATCCGCCGGGCTTCATAATAGTTGTCAGGCCTCGGGCTCCGCATTGAGACCCTCTATTTATTTAAAACAAAAGAGCTGGCCATTCCAACCACTGAGCATGTGACATGAGGCATACCGAGACTCGTGGTTCTTGAGCAAAGTCTCGAACTCCTGTCCAAAAGCATCTGGGATACTGCGCCAGAATTTCACTTCGTCTGGTTTCAAGACGACCCTGCTTCCATCACGGACCAGCACTTCCAAGGTGAGCTTGTCAAAGCCACCTGTCACAATGTCTGCGCCAGGAACCTTTGCCAGCTCGTCAGGCGGGACCGAAGGAGGCTCACTACAAAACTCAAAGCCAGGGATCTTGAGCTTTCCGTCCATCCACAGCTCAGTGACCTCCCGAAACAGCCTCATCTGGCCAAAGTCCGAGCTCTCCAAAAAATGAAGGGAAAGATAGTGGAGCTTGTTCTTGACATCGAAGCCAGCAGGCATTGAATCTACACAGGTCGTCTTCATATCCAACACCTGCCAGACCCACTGGACCAGCGGTGCTATTATCTCTCTGATTCTCTCTGCTATTTATATCGGAAGTGTGCTTATTAAGTCTTCAACCGAACACGTATACAAAAAACAAACATGGGGAATCAGTCTAGCCACTGATAGCCCCACATCTTCTACGTACCCCGTGAAATTCACCAGCACGACAGGGCCGTCGAACGTGTACTCAGACATCGTGAGCAAACTGCGCAGCATGGCGGTGACTCTGCTTCGTCCCTTCTGCGCCCGCAACTGCTCTGGCGATGGGCGAGCCCGCTCTGCGAGCCGCAAGTCACTGCTAGCGTCAGTGGACTCTGGAAGCACCAGATCCCTTTGCCGAGGAAGCAATACCTTGTCGGCATACATGGGCCTCCCAGCTGTACTGAGTTCAGAGCAATTCAAAAACACGTTGTCGTCCACTAGCTCATTGGGGACTACCAATCGGCCCATCGACCAGCGCCTCTCAAGAGAAAAGTCATCGCATATCATCACACTGAGACATGCAATGCTAGTGAAAGCAAAATCAAAACTCGATAGACCGACCCCGGTCCTCCTTTTGGCCAGACTTTCTCCAGATGGATGCAGATCAAACGGCAGCACGAATCTGTTGTCCAGATTCAGCTTCATGCTCCAAAACGCCGTCTGGATATCCGCTTCCTCATCTGCCAGACCTCGCTTCGATGAAGCTTTCGCCGCGTCTGGAAAATCAGCGAGTCCAACATTCCTCGACGCATTGTGCTGCAACACCATGTGCATCGCCTTGGCCAAATCCTGGGTTCTGGTCCGGCTGGCAGCATTGGGCACGTTGAAGTCGCAATACGCCACGATATGGACGCGATCGAGAGGCACGTTGTGGAGCTTGGCCTGCGAGGCCATATAAATTGAGAACAACGCTGGCTCCAAAGAAACCGACACTTGGCACAACACATAAAATTGGGTCCCGCGTCCACCAGACAAAATATTACAAAATAAACCACGCCAGAGGACAACAAAGGTCACAAAGTCCCTGAACGGACCCACAATGAATTCAATTTTGTCCACGCGCTCCACTCTCAAATACTTGCAATACTGCTGGACAGCTCTCTCGCCCTTGTAGGCTTCCTCCTCTCTCCATTTTGCCTCTACTCTGCGCTGCAAAGCGGCCAGCTTTGTCGGAACTGCTTCAAGCCTCTGTAGTTGAACCTGATCCCGCAGCAAAGCAGCCTTCAGGAATTGAAACCTGGCATTTCGCAACTCTACACGCTGCGTTTCGACCTCGGAGCAAACTGCTTGTTCTTTGGCTTCAGCAGCCTTTTGCATCTGAGCCCGTTGGCTGGGCAACATGCTGACAGCAAAGCTATTCGGCCGCTGCACAAGGATTTCTGCTATCTGGTCGTCCACTAGATTGCCTGAGGCAAGCTTTTGCTGAAAGTCGTTGGCATCCATGGAGTGCTCGCATAGCCCCCTGACTTGGGTCCACAGGACAATAGTGTTGCGGATGTCCACAAGATCTGCTGGCGCTGCTCTGTACTTCTTCTTCGCGCGCACTTCGACTAAAGCAGTCGCGCTATTGAAGTCTGACTGGATCCTTTCAAAAAGAATGATCTGCGCTTCAGGGGTCATTGTCAAAAGCCAATCCACACTGACCACGGCTTCCCCATCCAGAGCCGCAAGCCCAGACCCTGCATTTGCTGAAAGAGCAACAGGCGATGTGCTGTCGAGGAAAAGCCACGGCACCATGGCCAGGCTTTCACCGAAGGGCCCAGCGTTGAATGGGATGTCATGCTGGGAGACCTCCACCAAGCTAAGAACTGCTGGGGAGCACCGTTCCATCCAAGACTTGATGGCCGCAGCTTTTCTGTTGTCGATTTTGATCGACCCACCACCGGCTGAGTCCTGAAACACTACTCATTTTCAAAATTCATTTCAGGATCACCCGCCGCAAAAGAGTATCGTGCAAAGATTTGTGAAAAACCTTGCTAGGGAATCTAAGCATCCTTGTCGGTCATCTGCTGGACACTCGGGTGTCCATTGTAGATCCGGAGGGCTTCATCGAAACCCACCTCCTCGCTCAAGCCAGTCATGCTCCTCAGCAATAAAGCCCAACCAAAGGAAGACACTGGTTGCGCCTGCGCGTCCTGGTTCTGCTTGATGATGCGCAAGATCTGGCTGTCCAGTGCGCTGTTGGCCTCCTGCTTCATGATGCTCGGGATTTGCAGGAGGCTCACCAAAAGAGCTTGCACCTTGGAGTCTTGGAACTCCTCCGGGGCCAGCTTCGGCTCAAGGCTCGCAAGGCCCACCAAGTTGAGGAACGCCGCCAAACCCTTCTGAGAGCCATCGTCGCAGAAAAGCAAGTTCACCTGGTGCTGCTTGAACTGCTCGTCGCTCGCATCAATGTCCGGATTCATCCGAATGCTCAGCATCTCTCCCTGACAGCGCATCCAAGAGGAATGACAGATGTGGATAACATGGTTGGCCGCTCCACCTATCTATCCTATATAGTCTACCCTGGGCCACACTCCAGACTGGAATTTCTCGCCGCGAGCCAAATCAAAACTGCTCGCCGCGCTCCAAATAATAATCTCTCGCCGCGGCCCAAATCAAAATTTCTCGCCACGCTCGAGATTTGAATTTCTCGCCGCTGGAGGGGGTCCACTGGCTAGCGCCTACAGTAGGCGCTAGCCAAAGTAGATTGAACTAAGAAAGGCACTGGCTAGCACCTACAGTAGGCGCTAGCCAAGGCAAGCTTAGGAATCTATGCAGAATTTCTCGCCGCGGGAGGGGAACCACTGGCTAGCACCTACAGTAGGTGCTAGCCAAGGCAAGCGCGAGAAATTCTGCTTAGATTCCTAAGCTTGCCTTGGCTAGCACCTACTGTAGGCGCTAGCCAGTTCCCCTCCCGCGGCGAGAAATTCTGCATAGATTCCTAAGCTTGCCTTGGCTAGCGCCTACTGTAGGTGCTAGCCAGTGGTTCCCCTCCCTCAGCGAGAAATTTTGCATAGATTCCTAAGCTTGCCTTGGCTAGCACCTACTGTAGGTGCTAGCCGCCTTTCTTAGTTCAATCTACTTTGGCTAGCACCTACCCCTCCAGTGGCGAGAAATTCTGATTAGATCCCTAAGCTTGCCCTGGCTAGCACCTACTGTAGGTGCTAGCCGGTGCCTTTCTTTGTTCAATCTACTTTGGCTAGCACCTACTGTAGGTGCTAGCCAGTGGATCCCCTTTTCTATGGACTGCAGATTGCTAGCCTTTTGGTGAACATTGATTTTCCTCAAAAGCGGCTAGCACCTACTATAGGCGCTAGCCGCTTTCCATTTTTACAGACGTATCTATGGCTACCAATATATACTTAAATATATATATGTTTTTATATTCATACCATGCAATCAAGAAAGGCCACTGGCTAGCACCTACAGTAGGTGCTAGCCGCTTTTGAAATTTTTCAACCAATGAATTCTGGCTAGCAATCTCAAGTCCATCGAAAAGGCTGTAGCTTGTACCTTCACAAGTCCATGGAATGAGAATCAGAAAAGTTGCAAATTAAGTCTTTCCAGGCCTCCCGGAAGCGACTCACCGCGATAGATCGAGCGATGCCTAGCACTTCAGACATAGGAACAAAGCCTCGCCAGAAGGACGCTGGGTGCATCGACCAGTTCAAGATGCTTGTAGGAGAAATCTTTCCAGGTGTAGGCGGCCAGTCCTGGAATCCAGCCAATCAACTAGCAGTGCTCTTTGCACTTTGACAGCGTGCACTTTCAGGGTCATTTAAGCATTGTAAACTAAAAGCGCATTGTCCAACGCACCTTGCGCTTGTCCAGCGCGCATTCCGCTTGTCCAGCGGCCCTATGTGCCTTGCAGCCCGGCCTCCAGGCGGCAAAACTGGCCTTGCCAGTCTTCCAGGCTGCTATGATCTGGGACCAACCCTGCCTTTCTGCAAACCTTGAAGGCAGCTGTCACCAGCCTCTCTGGAGATTCCCAAGCTCGAGCTGCAATCTCCATGAATGTCCCTCCATGAAGCACAGGCCAATCCATGTCATCTCCATCATCAGGCTTAGCGTGCCGCTTGCTATAGACGGTCTGAAGCCATTGGTCCAAATGGGACTGGACCAAAGGAAGTGGCTCCTCCAAGGCACTACGTGCAACGCGGGCCTTCTTCTTAGGAGGCATGATGCTTCTGATGCCAAACACAACGCCAGGCCGTGCACCCGAGTCTGTGGGCCAAAGGAGCACGATTTGATGTCAAGACACGGATGTGGGAAGAAAGTCATACGACTAGACTGGACATGATTGCAGTCAAAGGAATGTTAGCCGTATTCAAGTGAATTGGCATTGAAAATCGGAAGACTAAAACTTGCTGCAAAACCAATGTTCACCTGGTGATTTTTCACATCCACCCTGCGCAAATGAGTTTGCCTGAAGACTTGACACGCTACCGTCAGAGGAATTTTCAAGTGAAGCAGCCTGCGACTGGGGTTGGCATTGACAATCGGAAGACTAAACCTTGCTGCAAAACCAATGTTCATCCGGTGATTTTTGACATCCACCCTGCGCAAATGAGTTTGTCTAAAGACTTGACACACTACCGACAGCTCATGTCGAATTAAATCTTAACTCACGGAACCACAGTGTGGGTATCACCACACAAATTTCAAAACTGGACCAGACCCACGAGTGCAATGGTATTGAAGCCTTTGGCCTAGTCTGTCACTGATCACTGCGCGGGCGCCAATGTGCTAAAATGGAAAGAAAGGCCGCCAGTGCCACGGGCACAGAGAACCTGACGAAAGCATCCGGAGTCAGCAGTGAGAGCAACAACCTTTCCCGCTTCATCTTCATATGTTTGGAACCTGTGAGTGCTCACTTGACGGTTTAAACCCAATCTCTCGGCAAGAGACGCATTGCCAGCAAACTTTTGCAGCAAAGCTGGCGACAAGGATCCAAGATGGAAACGATGGTACTCGTGAGCTCCAAAGCCTTGGAGTCGCGCACACTCCTGCAGGCATGCTATATAATCCAAACATAGACTAACTCATCTTTTGAAAATCCACAAATCCTGACTGGTCAGCAGGCGCCACCGCTTGGTGATTACATACTTGCCCTTGGGAATAGTGCAATTTGCCAGCTTGGGGTTGCTTCGTAAGAAAGTTCCACGGTCAAAGTTCTGGTCCTTACAGGACACAGGGCTTCAGCTGCGGTCAAACTATCTATTATCTAACATTCTCTGGGTCCCACAGAGAAAACCCTGTCTACTAAGTTTGCTCGCGTGTAGCAAGAAATATCAATCAATTCCCAGGCTCAACTTGCACAACAAGCTCCTCTTTGCAAGGATCCATGCCAAAGTTGACCTGAAGATCCACGCAGGCCACAGCCAAGATTGCCAACTCCCGCTCGGGCAAAAGCAACTTCTCACTTCTGATTCTGAGGAGCATTTTGTCGACCCTCTCCTTGGCCCATCCACAAAGTGTTCTCAGGGAATCTGTTTGAAAACTCCCAGCACCATCCCTATACCCGTGGCTGTTATGAATTGAGTCATTAATTTCACGTGCGAGGCCTTGCGTCCCTCCATGCCAAGCGACAGCACCCAGCTTTTCCTTGGCTTCTTCGAACTTCTCAGGCCACTTGAGCTCGCGATCCTTTGAAGACATAGCAGCCTGGCGACTCTCCCCACGTGGAACCTCACAATCATCCAAGAAGATTCTCTCCAATGAGCAGGCCTTCAATTGAAATGACCTAAACATCTGCAAGATAGATCCTGTAGTCAGTGCTGGGGCGAGGCAATCATTCCTGATGAACATCATCCAAACTCGAGTTCGCGACTGGGGCAAGCCATAAGAATATGTGTTGGGCACATCGAAGGCAGAGAAGTAGCCTAGCTTCTTCATCGTTTCGAGGATATAGTAAATTGGCTTCTTGTAGCCATCCACCGCCCTGGCGTGGACCAATGTCTTGACATTTTCCATTGCAATCCATTGTGGTCGGCTGCGCTGAACATAATCCGTGACAGATTTGAATCCGCACCCGGTAGCACTGGAAGTATCCTTGAATCCTTTCGGATCCATATTAAGCGGTGACACAGAGATGCAAGGAAAGCCAGAGACTAGACCATCGACCTGCCATGCAAGCGAGGAAGTCTGGAGATCGATGATCGGTCTGCAATTTTTTAAATCACCTCTCCCAACGCAGCTGAACTATCATGCCCTTTAGCTACGGTACCCTTCTTTCACACTTGACACCCCACGCCTTCGGCACTTCAACCCAGCCATCAGTCTTGCAATCTCGAGCCAGCCCCTGGGCCACATCCTTCATGTCAGTGAAAAGGTAATGAGCATCAGGAAAACAACGGAGGAGAAAATCGATCTTCGCAGTGTCATTTTCACAGAGAAAGCTGTGCTCTACCTGCAAAAAAGCTGTAAGAATCGGGAAGTAATGATTAATGAGACATCTGACAAGACTACTCAACTACTGGCCATCCAAAATGCGAATTGAACACGCCACAAGCCTTCAACAGTGAAGCGGGATTGGCACGGTTCCACTGTTCCTCGAAGATCTCTCCAATCATCTCCTGCGTTCCAATCCCAGAACAAATGGTTCCAACGCGGATGGTAGACTTGTGAGATCTCGAAAGGATTGCGCTCAAGGACTTCAACTTGCTGTGCAGCTCGCTAAAGTCTGGGTTGTTGACAGCCCTGCTGATGAACCCACGAGCCTTGGAAACAATCTTTCAAAACACCACGCGCGCAAAACTCGCGATAAACCGGCGATTCAAAAAGCACACAAGCCGTCCGACAGAAGCCTGGGATGTTTGTCTTTCATGTCACCAAAAATTTACTGCTAAGTAACCCCCAGCTCCATGTCCGCGGTCCAACCGCTTACCCCCTCTGTGTTCTCGGGATTGCTCCCATCAACGTCCTCCACGTCAGAGGAATAAAACGTGTCAAGCTCAGGGTCATTCACATTGGTCTCCGCGGCGTTCTTTTCCTCCGTCTCACTCGCCTTCCTCTGGGGAACACTTTTTCAGCGGAATTTGGGACCCAACAAAATCCAACAATTTGTTTCAGTCATACAGAGCTGGGCAAGGCGCTCATCATCCGTGCTGTGGAATACCTCTGGTGAAGGGCTGGCGGGCACATTGCTCCTGCGAGCTTTCCTGTCGCAATTGACAACTGGCCTATAGAAGCTGGTTAAAGGTAAGACTGTAGACTATGGACCAACGAATCACGATAGAACCCCTTTTCCCCGGCCTTGGCTGCTTTGAAGCTGGCCTTTTGATAACATTCACTGAGGCTGCTGGGCGCTTGTTGGTTTTCGGCCCCATTACTTTCTACACACAGGCTCCGCGTCAGTCTGGTTAGAAAATGCTGCGGGTCATTCCGCACGACGGTCAGCATGTTTGGAAGGAAAACAGGAAACCGTCGGACGCAAATGATAAATGTAAAGAAAACGTGTGTGGCACAGGTATCAAGACATCAAGACTGGCAGGCAGCCTCCCAACAAAATGAGCTTCCAGCCACAAACGCCACCAGACACTTGACTCCGCCTCGGCCGACCAACGACGGAAAGCCTTCCTTAATCTTTTATTGAAAACTAACTCCGGAAGTCCGAAAGCAATCTCCATGTGGTTGCCTCAGAGTGCAAAACAATGTTCACATATCGGGACCTATACCAGCCAGCAACACTGTTTGACTACTACTATTTGCCTCAAGCGTGACATTTCCGCTCTGACCATTTCCCCTTCCAGCGTGGCTCTGCACAAATCTGACTTGACCGCCGCTTTGCAGCTTGAGGGCTTGTCAACCCAACTGGATCGGAACACGCTCCTCCTCCTCCTCCGAGGCTGTCTCGCTCTCATCACCACGGGCACTCACATCAAATGTTCTCACCCGACGAGGCTTTTCCCAGGAACGTGGGAAGGCAGGCACACCATCCAAAGGCGATTGTGGTCGATGGTGAAGGAAAGAATAAGATCTCGGCCTTGACTTCGACTCCCATTCGCCTCTGGACCAAGCCAACAAGTAGGTCGCTCCATCTGCATTAATGATGCCTTGCTCCTGGCACCTTGGAGCGTAAACGGAAATATTCGTAACCACTTGCTGTGAGATAGCTCGTCTCGGAGAGACCCCAGAGGGTTGTTCGAAGGCATGTCTGATGTTGGAGGCCTCCTGTGCAGACAGAATGCACATGACATGTGTTGGACTGTGGTCTGCCATCCTCCTTTTCGTCACCAGCAATATGTCGCAGGGGCTGGGCTCTGAGCCTTTCAGTTCTTCCACCTGGCATGAGCCGAAGGAACTCGGACTGAGATCCATTCGCAGGCAGAATCGCACTTGCCCCACCAATCCTGGACTAAAGGAAATGTGCGGACATATTATATCAACAGTAAACTCAAATTGCAACTAAAAAGTTTTCTCATTTTCGTATCAACAAGAGTCTGAGGCCCTTGAGCTTGACACCCGCGACAGCCACCCATTCTTTCCACTGGGCTGTCTGATCCAAACGGCACGATGATGCAGCAACCCTGTCCAGTCTCCTTTTTTTCTGCCGCAAGGACTGTGCCCTCGTGTCAGGCTGGCAGGTAAGGTTCAACAAGTCGACCAGTTCATCTGGGTTCGAGAATGTCTGCGAGCTCAGCATTCCTGAGACTTGTGAGAAAATCTGATCCACATCTTCGTGTGAATGGCCTGGTCTCAAGAATGAAATATAGCACTGCCGAAAGACTTGAAGCACTGTGAGAAGAAGAAGAAAGCTCATGTAAAACTGGTTCTTTGCCTCCCTGTAGGTTCCATCATGCTGCACGTATAGTGTAAGGGGCAACGATCCAACTTCTGTGAACGCGTCGCTCAATGCCCGAGCGGTGGCTTCACAAGAAGTCTCCGAATTCTTCGGCATGTCTTCGTTGGACACATAAAATCGCAAGGAGTGGCCGTGAAGCCAGCAGGCCAAAATATGCATAGTCGGCCTAAAAAGGCGCTCGCTCAACTTGCTGCGCCTCTGTGATGAGCGGAATCGCGGCATGCGAAATTTTGCTTGGTCCATGCCGTCCTGGATGACTGAAAGGGAGCTCGTGTGGATCGAAGACTTCATCATCCTTGAGCGGCAGGTCATCCAACTGCTGAAAAAGGCCAATGCGTCTACTATCCTATTTCCCCCTTCCAAAAAAGTTTCGTCTACACCTTGGAAACTACCTTGGAAAGTATTCGCCATCCAAGAATCTTGTCGCCCATGGCGATATATTGCTGGAACCAACCATGTGATTGCGAGCGATGTTGCCAATATTGCTGTCGGTCAAGCCACTGGCTTAAAACATGCTTGACCAAAGCCCGGTGGTTTGACTCACGCTCTGCCGCGTTGGATGACCTCCGGATGGCATCTTTTAATTCCCAGCACCGGTCGCACTGGGCATGGTCGCCCGGCTTCCTGAAAGCAAGTCGGGCTCCCCGCATGCCAGGCTTCATCACAGCATTTGCTACCCTCAAAAAGGTGGCAAAGGAGGCAGCTTGTTGATTGCTGGCCTCGCAAAAAGCTACAAACTCATAATAGAGTTCAGTGCGTGTTGAATGCTGTAAATACCTTTTCGGAGCGAGATCTCCAGAGTCAGGCCCGAGCCTCAAAAGGTCCAAGTCTGAGCTATAGACATGAAGCTCACGCATCACCTGTGTCACAAAGCGCATGCTGAAGTTTGAATCTTCCTCCTCCTCTCTAGTCTCTGGGAAAGCTGCTTCCTCTGCAGACTGACATGCCTTTTGCAAGCGGCCACTCGTTGGAAGACATTCAGCACTTGAGTGGTAAATGTGCCAAAGGAAAGTAACCACAACCTTCCACTTGGTCGCGGTGTCGGAATCAATACAAAAGCCAAAAACTGGATGCTTTGGTCTCTTGGGCCTTCCTGCGTAGACTTGGCAGTGACCCTGCCTAAGGCGCTGCAATGTACTGGATCCAACCCCAAGAAGTCGGGACAATGCCTTGATGCAAACCGTTTTTTTCAAGAACTCCGCCTTCGCAGAAGTCCTTGGCTGACGCGCTCGCTTCAGGCCATCTGTCTTGCAGTTGCCAGGCTCATCCTCCTCTGCATCGGAAGCTTGGAAAACTTCACAACGGTCACCACCACCCTGAACAATGCTCTCTTCCCCAACATCTTCTGAATCAGAAGCTTGGAAAATTTCACCACGGATAGCAGGTGACCCGTGCTTGACCAAAGTATCATCCTCCGCGTCTGAAGCAAACAAGGTCTCATTGACAAGAGAAGTGTCCACACAACTAGGGAGTGTAGATTCATTCTGTATCTTGGACACAGCCTGCTGCACGCGAGAAGCGACATTGAAGAATTGCTGAAGCGCTGTAGCCTCGCGTGCTCACACTTGCCACCACCACAACGAACTTCAATGAGCAATGTTGTGTAATTACAAAAATATGATAAAATATGTATCTTTCTCTTACCGCAACACCTGAATGCAACCCCGACTGAACCAGCTAAGGAGCTTTGTCGGGCCCGTCCATGTTGTGGAACCTGTCTCTGGCTGCCTGGACTTCGCCTTCGCAACCTGCGAACTGCTGCAAGCACATGCGATCAAGGCAGCTGCACTGCCTGTGAAGAAGTGCATTCACGCTCACTTTGTGAGGCCACTCTGCTTTTTTCCCCATGGCAAGCGAGTGCGAACTGATCTTGCTGGACCAAACCTGAAACATCAAATTTTGGCATCTCAAGCATTGCACAATAATCGTTCTTGATGGTCAACATAAACCACCTCAAAAAAGACATATTTCTATAGTAAACCACCTGGCAAAGATCTTATCTTGCTTGCTTCAATACTCACAAAGATCTTGTGCGTCAACATTAACTCTGCTTGCTTGCACTCTACTTGCGACCCCTGCAATCCAAAAGGCAATTCAAGCCCAGGCTGAAGGGCCAAGGTCCATTTCAACACTGAAGAGTGGCGTTCTGGGAGCAATCGCATGAACAAAAACATTTATTGAAACTCGGTAGTATTCTTACTGCGCCATTAGGCGAACTCCCGGCACAGTAAGCGAACTCCCCGGCACCAGAAGCGAGCTCCTGGCCCTGAGAAGCGGGCTCCCAGCATTGGTAAGCGAACTCTCGCCTTGCAACAGCGGGAACACTGAAGATGGCACGCAATACTACAAAGTGGACGTGTTGAACCCTGTCAAGGAAACAATCGAAGACAAACTACACCAGTGCGCTTGTGCAGCGCAAGCTGCTTGTTCAGCAGCATCCTTTGAATACTTCTCACACTCGCATGGAAGTTTAAGGGCGCATTGCGCAGCGCCAGTGCGCTTGTGCAGCGCAAGCTTGCTTGTTCAGCAGCACCCTAAGCCTAGCACCTTGCACGCTCCTGCTCAGGCCGCCGCATCGAAGGCGTGGAGCCTCAATAGGACAGGGTCCGGCGTTCTCAAAGCCGCTGGGCAAGCGGAATGCGCTGCACAAGCGCAAATTGAAAGACTAACCACAATGAACCAACTTGTACCAACACGTAGCATGGCTTGTTCAGCAGGGAAAGGAATTCAGGGTAAATCCGTCTCAATCGAATTACTTTGCCGAGTCTCAATCATCCTCAATGGTTTTTTGGGTGGGAGAAAACCAGACCCAAACGCCGAACGCTTGACTCAGGCACTTTGCTTCCGGGCCGCTCCCTGATGGACATCTGTTGGGAGCCTCGGCTGTGATGGAACGCTGTCACTTGCCGAATTGAGAGGGGTTTTTGGAACGAAGCTCCCTGAGATCACTTTGGCGTCTTGTTCAGGC